CCCCAAAACCCCAAAACCCCAAAACCCCAAAACCCCATATTAAATCTAAATATTTGAAGATAATAAAATAAATCCAATGAATAGAAAAAGGAGTAAGTTTCAGGCTTTGGCCTTCACTTCTTGCAGCTCCTGCCTCGTTGCGTTATTGAGGATAGATTAAACAGGCTGATTTTGATATATTTTGTGTGCTTCGAAGCATATTTTTCTAAGATTTAACACAACATTTAACGCCAAGTTTAGCCCATATGGGTATGGAAGACCTAGAAGCCGATCCAATAGAGCTCCTGATCACTGACTTTGAGAAATTTAATGATGTCGAAAGAACCTTCAGCCAGATTATGGATATTGATAACGAAGATAGCAAAGTCAAGCTCCTGATCGATTTCAGCAGATTTTTATCCAGCAGCGGCTACTTTGTAGAATCGAAAGTTTTCGTAGCCCTTATGCAAGGTAATTGAGATGACTCTGAAATCTACGCTGAGTGTGCAAGAGTCTACTTTGGTCATAAGGAATTCGGAAAGTGAATTGAGATGAACAAACTTGCTTTGAAAGCTGATAGCGAAAGGCCAGCTCAGATCCAGTCAGACATTGGCTTAGCTTTACTCAAGAATGGAGATGTAAATGATGCTATTGTCTTCTTAGAGTCGACCATTTCAGATAACCCCTCATTTGTAGACAGCTACATCAACCTAGCTTTATGATTCAAGGAGCAGAAAGATTACACCAGAGCTTTATCATCACTTGAAAATGCGATGAAACTTAATTCGAATGATTCAAGAATTCACACCAACATCGGCTGCATCTACTATTTACAGGAAAAGTACGAAGATGCTGTAGTGAGCTTCCTCAAAGCAAAGGATGTAAACCAGAACAACCTTGCACTTGCCTTGATGAAACTTGGAAACCTGGAGTACTCAAACCTGGCCTTTGAGGAAGCTTTGCTAATGGATCCTGGAAACATGGATATTGTGAACAACTACATGCTTTGCCTTCTAAATGCAAAAATGTTCCCTAAATATGTTAAAATGCTTTCAAATTTCTCTGGAAAGCAATACGAAAAATACAAAACTTTGCTGAACAAATTCATCAAAGCCTGCGGTATCCACCAGGATGAGATGAGAAGCAAACTTCGTGGTAACTTAGCCAACAACATGAAGAAAGAGATCAGAAAGGTGGATCACCCAGAGATGGAAGAAGAGGATCTTCCAAAAGAAGAGAATAAAGATAGCGAAATTGCAGATCTTCTTTCTATTGATGATGATGAATCTGCATTTTAGCTCGAACGTTTCAATTCTTTATATTTGTCTAGGGGTTTTGGGGTTTTGGGGTTTTGGGGTTTTGGGG